GGCACTCAGTGGGTCCCATTTACCCCCACATCCCTTGGCTTCACAGACCAGGGTGTGGTGCTTTCAGAGCTTGTTTAAAAGTCCTTCCAGAACAAGCAGTTCAGATGTTGAGCATTCCCTGATTACATAGTTCTTGGTACAGGGTCATTATTAAGGTTCCACCTAGATGCTGGACCATGGATATTCCCCTTCCTTTGTACGAAACGTCAGTCCCAAAGGGTATCTTTTATCATCTTTACCTCATTCTTTCCCTGCTTGTTATCCAACCCCTCCCACAGGCTCTAAGGTTTTGGATCCCGGGAAGGGCTCCTTAGCATAGAACTAACATGCATTGTCTTGCCATTGTACCCTGCTAGTTATAACAAACAGACAACCAGCGTCTCCATCTCCTCCTTCTACTTTCCTTGACAAATTGGAGAAGAGTGTGTAGGCACATCCCCATTGTAAACCGTTCCCCCTTACACAGGCAAGCTCTTTTCTGGAAAAAAAAACAAAAACAAAAACAACAACAAAAAACAGCTCAGACTTATTTACATGACTCATTACCCACAGCACAAGCCATGCAACTGGTGCTACCACCTGCTTTCAATCCCAGATGTGATGCTACAGGGATTTCAATATTCACTCTAGTTCACCAGACATTCACATCAAGGAAGCACACTGCTCCATACTATATAGAAGACGGCCACCCTAAGATTCCCCCAGGGATACCCATTCTCTGACAACTTAGCCTTGGTGGCATGTCCTATCACTCATCTCAAAGAGCATGTGACCACCATCACCTCAAGGAGGCACAACGTCTCATACCACATGGGTAAAGAGCCAGGGGGAACTGCCTGCTCCACAGTTGCTCCTTCTCATACAGGTTGGCCTTGGCTGCATATGTCAGCGCACAAAGCAGGACTATGCAACCACTGGTTCCCAGTGCAGGGGCCATGCAGTCACCCCTCACCAATCCAGAGTCATGTAGCCACCCCTCCCCAATGCAGGGCTATCTAGCCCCTCCGCCCCCCCCCCAGTGCAAGGGCCATGGGACTGTT